GGCTTGCTCCTCGTAGTAGGGCTGCTTCTCCTGGTTCGTCATGGACTTCCACCGGGAGCCTGTGCAGAGAGGAGCCGTGGGGCACGCTTAACCCCTGCCCACCCTGATGAAACCCACGCCGGCTCCCGGCTGGGATAACCATCGCGAGAGTTAATTAATGCTCGTACCATCCCCTGAGCAAACGGCAACGCCCTCCCGGCACACCGGGAACAGGTCCCCAGCCCTGACCTTCCCCGGGCACCTCTTGGGCCACGGCTTTTGATCCTCTTCAAGGTATGGTGAGCAGGTGCTGCAGCTAAAACAGGCTGTGCCGGCGTGTGACTCGCATTCCCCCGCTGGCTGACCTTCATTGCCATTGCCGTCAGCACCCGGGCAGGAGGGCAAAGCAGAGCACGGCACAAAGGCTGCTGGGCTGGCAGAGGGGCTGGGGGCCAGGCTGGCCAAGAGAAGGGATTAATCCCCTCAGCTCAGCACCTGGGAGGCGTCCAGTTTGGGAGCGAGGATAAGCTGGAGGTGCTTGGAGAGCCTCAGCATCCTTGGAGATGCTCAACAGCCAACAGGACACAGCGCTGAGCATCCTGATGGGACTACGGAGTTTGCTGGGCTTTGAGCATTGCTTTGGGCTGGGGACCTCCAGACACACCCTCCTACCACCTAAATCCTCCTGTGAGTCCCCGTGTGCCCCTTTCCTGGGTGTCCTTCACCCACTAATACGCCCAGCTCCCCCAGGGAGCTCCCCCTCCCACACCTGCACCATGAGCCTGGTGGCCCAGGTAAACCGAGGCACGGAGGCACGCAAACCGCTTGCCCGGGGTGCCCAGATGTCCTTCCCCACGCACTCGGCCCCTCGCACCACCTCAGAGCCACGTTTCCAGGAGCAGAAGAGCACACAGGAACCGAACCCCGCCTGGGTGCCCACCACCTCTGGACCAGTCCCCCGTTCTGCAGGCATCCGCCTGCTAAGTTCGCACCCCTCGAGCAGAGCATGGCTCCGGCTCCCCGGGCAGAACTGCGCCAGCTCTTTAAAGCCACGGATGTCTGCCGTGACATGCGAGGTGCATGTGTCGGAGGCAACACACAGCGCAGCCGCACTGCGCCGCTGCACGCTCGCTCCTGGCCCCTCGGACGGGCTCGCTGGCGACCGTGCCGCTGGCTTTTAATAGCGACGTGGCCACGGGGAAGGGCTGGTGTGACCGAGAGCTGCAGCAGGACCACTGCTGTCAGGGGGTGTGGGATGGCGGCTGGAGGAGGCCCACGCCATCCTAGAGTGATGCTACAACGGGGTTAGCATCGTCCTGGCGGGCGTCACCCGTACACGGGTGACCGAGGACGAGCGGAGCGAGCAGCTGGATGAAGGTTGTGTCCCCCCATGGGGATGCAGAGGAGGGTCCTGCCCCGGTGCCCCGCTGCCATCCCCAGCACTCACCCAGGATCTTGCTGATGCTGGAGTTGTGCATGTCCGGGAAGGCCTGCAAAATCTTCCTCCTCTCGTCCTTCGCCCACACCATGAAGGCGTTCATGGGCCTCTTGATGTGGTTGTTGTTCCTGGACTCGGGGAAGTGCCGTGAGCCTGCGAGGGAAACCCCGGCCGAGGTCAGGAGCCAGAGGAAGGAGCAAGTGGGGGGACACCGCGGTGCTCTCGGCCATCCTTACCGTCCATCTCACAGGTCAACAAAGCCTCATCCAGCCGGTGGGCAGGGGTCTCCTCCATCCGCTCCTTCACTGGGGAAGAATCGATCCCGACATGGTCCTGCAGGAGAGCGGAGACTCAGGAACCAGCTCCAAGCCGGAGAGCCCACCCATGGGCAGAGACCCGGCTCTGGCCTGCTGATGGGGCAGGTCGGAGCGGGGGACGGGGACCACCCATCAGGCACCCCTCACCTTGCGGTAGGGGTTGCTCAGCGATCCCTCCATGGCTCCGCTGTGGCCATGCAGCAGCTGCCGCGCGTCCTGGATGGCTTTGGTGATGGCGTCGCCTTCGCCCAGGAACCCTGGCAGGATACGAGCACGGGCACCCATCAGCGCCCACTCTTCCGACACCCCGCAGCACCCCATCCCACCCCAGCAATCACAACTGTGTGCCCCAAGGGGGTGGCACGGAGCGGCAGGTGCCCACCCAGGCCACCCCAGGGAGGAGGGACCCCAGGGAGCAAAGATGTCCCCTTTCTCTGGGAGGTGGTCAGGAGAGGGCATGGGACCATCCATCAGTGAAGGCGCTTGGGAACCCACCCAGAGGCAAGTTGGACGGGCTGGTCTGCAGGTCCCTGGTGGCCCCGTGACTTGGCGTGAGGGACTGGCAGCCGCTCATCTTCAAACTGGGCGAGCTGGAGGCACTGGGGAGGTCAGAACCTTTGGGTTTGGCCGTCAGGTTCAGCGGCTGCGCGGTCTCCTGCGACGGAGGGGGGCGAGGGGGAAGTGCAGCCCCCGGCGCACC